TATATATATATATATATATATATATATATATATATTATATATATACCAAAGATAACCGCGAAAATTAGCGCGCTTGGGCTTTTTCCTTTTCATTTCTCAGGGATGAGTCTAATATTATGAACAGGGTCTGTAGGGGAAGGTGGGGCAAAATGTGAAGAGAGTCAAAACGGGCAACTTAGATTTGAATCAAATCATACTGGATATCTATTGATTATTTACCCTAATATAACTCCCTACTACGCGCGCAAGTTTTCAGGCATGGTGGCGCTCGATGAGTTAAATTGTAAAAACCATAGGAGCAAAATAAGAAAACCTCGACCTTTCTTATTTTGTGTCGAGTTTTTGACGGGCGAAAAAAGGTAACATGGGAACATTGGAGGCGTCCGATATTTGTTTCGATTGAAGGTGAAAATGTGAACAATAATAAGCAATTTACAACTAATACAAATTATATTGCTTAAGAAGTTTCATTGTTTTCTCGGTTATGTGTTCTGAGTGAATAGGCAAATAATGCAACTTTGTAGAAAAAGCTTATTTTATTTGTAGATGATTCATTGCTGTTTCTGTCCTTCGATCTTCGTAAGTAACAATGAAGAAAGAAACGAGAAGTAAATAGGCATAAAATGAAGACAGGGGAAAACATGTAGAACATCATTAGTTTGCTAATTGAATGAAATTCATTGATGTTTCACCTCTGTGACCTATCTAAATAGACATGCATCTTGAGTAAAATCTTTGTAAAACAATATCTGGAGAAGTGCCCCGTTTTGTTCCACATTCACCTATACACTATGATGATGGAAAAAGTAATATCCTGTCAGTGCACAATAAGGTATCTAAGAATTATTGTCGACCAAAATAACTCTAAACTGGCCATATCTAAACTGATTCATTGACCTTCTAGTGAAGAAAAATATGTTTGCGAATCAGCGCTCTTGCTGAACTACCCAGTGGAACTACTGATTTGCAAACATTTTCTTAGTGTGTGCAGCGATACTTTCTAATTACCCTTCAAAGCTCCGAATTCCAACGAAGCGTCAATCTTCACTGAAATAACGCGTAATAAATATCAAATCCTGGCAGATAGTGACCCGACAATGATAAATCAATAGTTAATCTAAAAAGTAGCTCGTAAATATGAAGATAAATGTGAGATTTTAATGGTAGAGATGCGACTTCGAATGAGAGTTTATGAGAGATTGGCGCGCTTCTTCCACCCTGTGGCCTGGTGTTCCAAGAAGCTCAATATTCCACGTGATTATCGCGAGAACGCACAGATTCGACTGGAATGAATAAGAAAAAATTACTCACTGGTTCATGGACCCCTTCCACGTTTCTATAAGGAGGTTCTGCGTCTGTTTTGCGACGACGGGGAGTTGGCTTGGGTTTGCATTTTGGGGAGTCTAATTCTTGCATTGGTATTTGTTTTGGGGTTAATTGTTTGCGCGTTTCATATTGGTAGTTCTTTTCAAGAGCTTCATGGATTCCTTTTTGACTCAATATGTACTCCAAGTTGATACATTTCCCCCTCAGGCACATCATTATCTCTTTAGTTCCTTGTTTCAATTCCATGTTCGTTTTCTTCAGCAAGTTTTTACACTGCTTGTCCATAGGGTCGTGATTTAGATGACAATTTCTGCATGTTCCCATGATCCAATCTGCGCAAATGTGCATCTTCAGGCATTGAGAAATATTGCAATAACCTCTGAGGTTATAGTCCTCGCATACATCTGGAACAACTGTGTCTAGTTTGAATAGCTTCCTCAAATATCTTACATCCTCTGTCTCCACTGGACATTCCTTGAGGACATCCCTGTTGTGATCAGTGAAAATATTATGACCGATCTTGCATGTGTCATCTTTACAAAGGCCATAAAGGTATTTCGGGCAAATATGCAGTGACACACATTCCTTCTTGTTGCAACCATAGCTTGTCATATTACTCTCACAAATCTGGATCTGCAAACATGTCAAGAGAGAGATGTGAGTCCAGTCTATGCCATAAAAAGGTATTCACAAGTGAAAATCAACATTTTCCCTATGTTTTATTATTAGCATGGTATGTGCTTGCATCTGGATGCATCTCCTTTCCGTTAAATCCATGAACTCGTCATATTTGGCAATACGTGGGAGTGGCTTTGATATCACCTGTATTCCTGATTCTCTCGATTTCGCATGCTTCTGTGTATGTATATATGTGTGGAAAGCCTTTGTCGATATATATGTAAATATGCATTGGTGCATAGGTGATTAATTGCTTAAAATATGACTGCCGTTTGCAAACATGATCATGTACTCCCATAGTCATGAAGGACGTAGACTATGTTATATCATGACAAGGTTTTTAGAAAGTATTGAATAAAACATAGGGTAACTTGGGGGAATATGGACACCAAAAATGAAATCAGGTTATAGCGTCACGTCTAGGTGAAATTAAACATTGCCAATATTCAGAAAATATTGATTGATGTCTCCTTTATTTATTCCCAACAAGATCCGTGCAGAAAATTAAATGGGAAAAGAGTTGTTGGGACCTCTTCACATGGGTCCCAAGAGGCCATATTAACACTATAGTTGGGGGAATATGGCCACTTCTGAAAAACAACTCCAGATTGTCCAGGAACGTGTGAAATGTGCTGGAACATGCTGAGTACCTTGAAACATGATAAAGGACTCTCAGCAGTTGAAAAAGAAACATTAACTGCACCGAGGACAAACAAAGAAGTCGACATCATTACCTGACTCGAGGAACCGTTGTGGAAAACAGGATTGCAACGCTTTTGCTTTTGAGTAAAAATGCACGTGATTGGGAGACAATATCTAGAGACTGTGTATGTGTAAGAGGAATGATCAAGCATCGATTAAAGTGATTATGCGCTACGAGAGTAAAATAAGAGGTCTTACATTGCAGGAAAAATGTTGCGTTGTTTTTGCATGTATGGATAAATAGTGCCAAAAACCACAGAATGTCCTATTTTTACGAGGGATATTTACTTGCATTCAAGTTTCGTGCAACAAAAATTTCTGGAGAATGTCAAGCGATGCAGAAGGAGGTGCATAAGCATACCCTCATGCACGGCCTTCTCATGTACTGCATATTTCGTCCAGATGTCCAGTACGTCTATCCATATATCCAGAGGAAGTGCATTGGATGATCTCTTGCAGTCTGAGATCCCACACGAAAGGATGCAGACAGTATCAATAGGTCTGTGCGGTGCTAACATGAAATGAAGGATGTGTCCATATTACCCCAAATCGAGATGGCAATATTTCCCCATATTGGCTCGCATTACAAAATTGACAACACTGCCTACAAACCGCAAGTGAAGGGGCTAGCACTTTGCACAAGCATTCTGGAGAGACCATAGAAGAACTTAGAAGTAATGGTTTCTGTATCCATGCTGCTATTAGGAAATATACGCTTATGTTGCTCAAGGCTCATATTAGTTCCACGGTCATGAGTCAAAGAATCGTATGCATATGACTTTTAAGACATCGATGTATCCCGAATTCCTGTGGGAACTGGATTGATGAACAGGTCTACACATTTCGACAATTGCATATACTCTTCGATAGAACTATTTTTTAAATTCGCCCAAACTAATTATTCAGTCTATAAGGGGATTCCTTGTGAAGGGCCATATTACCCCAATGGCCATATCCCCCCAAGTTACCCTAATGTGGCAACAGTTCGAACGATGCAGCCTACCCTTCAAATTGGGTCCTGTTCGATCCTGGTTTCCATACATCAGTATTACATATACCGCTGCTAGTACATGAAACACGAAATACTATTTTTCAGTGTCACAATCTGGGAGTTGAAGGGTCAACGCAACAAAACTGTCATTTATTGTTGAAGGGCTCTCAGCATCAAAGCATCAAGGTCCTTTCAATCTGACAACATATTGATGTTATCTACCTGTAAGATATGCATGCCGTTAGAAAACGTCCTCTTGCAGCCATTTGGTTGAACGACCACGTGAATAGGAGCTGAGTTTGGAACCAAGTTGACATGACTCCAAGACGTGGAAATGCTCATAAGGGGACATCCACCTGGTTTCAATTCCACTTAGAAAGAATATGTTTTGTGAGGGCATAGCAATTGGTAACGCCTGTCTCTTCGATCTGCGAGGATACGGCCTGGTCAAAGCAAGGAATATTCGTGCTATGTATGCACGAAGCGATCGTAGCGAGTTTTGGGACTCAGCCACCCTGCTGGACATCAGACATCCAACAATCAATGTGAATCCCCTCAAGCCACCATACTGATATGAACTATAACAAACGAACTAACGACGGGAACAGCTACTCAACTGGGCGTCATTTAATGACCTATCGTTGATCCATGATTCCAAGCAGCGTGGTATATTCCATTCGTTCGCATGAAGCGCGATTATTCCTTCAACCTTTGTTGGGACAATGCCGTCAATGGCCAGAGGGAATCGTTGGGTCTAGGTCATTAAGATCTTTAACAAACCCCCATACCGCAAAACTGCTTTGGCAACCTTAGTGACAGTCGAACGTAGCATCGTGTGCCGGCAACATTTAAGTTCGTAGGTAAAGCGTCCAATCGCGTTAGTAGAGCTTTATTCCAGACGGCCACTGCTTTCGTACTTGGCCTGTCCATAAGCCCTTCCTTGAAACATAATACGCTGCACTTTATAAGCAGAATAATTTTAATAATCGAATATCGCTGTTCCTCTTTCAAAAAAGAAACTAAGCAACTGACCTGTCTGTCTTTCGGAGGATCAATGGAGTCACAGGGAAATTTTTGGTTTCCTGGAGTTTCACTCAGGGGTCTTGATCTGGCTGTCTTGATACCCTCTAAATTGGAACATCTTTCTTTAAAATATATCTTCAATTCCTTTCTTGAGTATCGAGTGTTGACATCCGCAGTTTCCAGTAATGCTTGGCACTGTTTCTCCAGGATATCGTGATTCAAAGGACATTTTGGTCTACTACATGTTCCAGCGATGGACCCTGCACACACATGCATATGGAGGCATTGGCTTTGGCGATCGCATCTACCACTAAGGTTATATTCCTCGCAAACATCTGGAACAACTTTGCCTGGTTCCAGTAGTTTCTTCACCTCTGTCATATTGTATTTTTTTCCCTGGAACATTTCACTTAGTATGGAGAGATTGTGCTCAGTGAAAATATCATGACCAGTCTCGCATTTCTCATCGTTGCAAAGGCCATACATGTATTTTTGGCAAATATGCAATGCTTCGCAGCCTTTCTTGGTGCAACCTTCATTCATGTGATCTGTGCATACATGAAGCTGCAAGAAGAATGAGGGAATTCATTCAATCATTTCTTATAAATATGAAACTCATTTTTCAATTCCTTTGGCAACTGTCAACAATTTCCATATGGGTAAAAGTCATAAGCTACAGAATTATGAATCTCATATGCGATGCTGTCATGACTATTTTAGTACTCCGTCTTATTACAAAAGCTTCACTTAGTTCTGATACACTCTCCAGGACGCATGGTTCTTTTCCCCGAAGGTATGCACTTTTTCAATGCAAATCATTTTCGAATGCTTTGGTTGAGAGAACTTCCAAAAAGAAGGAATACGAGTATCAAAGACCGCATTCGAATACTTGATTTCCATACGATTCGGTTCACTGGTGATTGGCAAGCGTGGAGATTAACGTTAATTGTCAAGGCTGTATAGTACCACATATGTCGTACTGTGGCAATTAAGGGATATGGCATAACGTGCATGGTCAGCAGAAGACCTTTGACTGGAATTAATTGATAATTCGTGGATATATTAGGGATGTAATCCCAAGCCAAACGCTTATTTAACATGTAAGGATAATACAGACTGCAGGCAAGATTCACTGTTTGGAACTTTGGGCTCCTCGTTGGCCCAAAATGCAGATTTCTGTTTATAGGCGTATTTGAAAAAGATTATGTTGATAATGTGTTGCATGTCTCAGGTTTTCTAGAAACCTTCTGGAATTAAAAATATTCAGTCGATGAACATTTACTGAGACATTTCGTCAACTCGATCCGCCCAAAATGACCATATTTTCCTAAATGCTGGGTTAACATAGGCGGAGAAATAATGTGCATAATCTAACTGGAAGAAAAACAGGTTAGCGTGTAATGCTATTATGCACCTGAACGTGTAGTTTTAACTTCCTTTTAGCTTTCCAGATTTACCCGTTTCGCAGGGGCGAACAAATTCTAGAAGTAAAAACCTCCCAGCAACGTATAGATACCATCAGGATATGTACTTTGAAAGCAGGCATTACTAATAACGCCAATAGAAAATAGCGTACCGAGTTTCAGGTATCTATCACATGAAGAACATGTTTAAAATTAACATTATTCACCTATTCACTCGGTCACTCATATTGTTACTCACTCGTCACTCAGTCCACCACGGTCGTGCATATATCCCGATGGCAGAAAGCAAATGCATCCTGTTTGAGACCTAATGAAAACAATTTTGAAGACTTTGTGTACAACATGTTTAAGAATATAATTGAAAACACGACAAAATATTATTCCTAAAAAGTTTCCTCCGTATCGTAGACATGCATACCCTCGAGGATGGGGAAGATGTACAAGACTTACAATGTCTAAGCGTCGGCAGCTTAGAGCATTACTAGGGCCCCTGACTGAACTCGTGAATACCGAAAATGCTACCCGCTTAACCTTTTCAGACCTGAATTGGCCGCTATTGGAATGATATATTTTGTTGCATTTTTGAGTTCTTTCGTGACTTTAATTGAAAATTTCATGCTTTTTATGTAGTTTTCTTATAATGTATATAAATTTACCATAACATACCATATATTATATATTAAACATTTAATTAAATGACTGAATATTAAAATACTAAAGGGAAAAAGAAGGCCTTTGATGAAACTGAGTCTTCCATAATTACGCCCATTTTAGCGTAATATGGAGCGTAAAGTCACGAGAATTTTAAGAAGTTGCGATAGAAATAAGGTAAGTCCACTTGAATGGACACCAGGTCTGAAAGGGTTAATCTTGGCTTGGAAGTCAAACTTGATGAGGTTGGGGTCGGAATTAACCCTTCAGGATTGGTTGGGTCCACATTTGCAATCCTTACACTAAAGTTTCAATTGCAAACAGGTTGAAAGCATCTACGCTTTTCCTAAAGCCACCGTAGAAGAGGACTTAATGTGCCCGACGAAATTGGCAGTGTGACACCCCTGGCCTAGACCAACCCGAGGTTCGGGGAAGTCTTTCACGGGTCAACTAGTGTTTCTACATCAATTATATCTTAGCACGAGGTCTATGGGCTGCCCTTTAATATTTGGATTTGAAAGATGAAATTTAAATGCTTGGTACACTTAACCTCCTTCTCCTCAAAACGAGACTCACCCATTGACCTGCAGGATTTGTTTTGCACTGAGACTGAGGAGACACGTTCCCTTGAGGGTTTCGTACGCTTTCGTTTATGGATGATTCCAACTCATTTCCGATTTCCATGTCCCTTTTGGGGGATTGTCGTTCCATTGAGGCTGATACCCGGTCTCCTTTTTCTTCGTGTTTCTTTTCCATAGTATTTTCCTCCATCCTGTGAGACTTTATTATCTCCAAGTTCGTGCATTTCTTTTTCAAGAACATTTTCAAATCTCTGGGGGCCCTTCTTATGTTAACATCCGCTTTTTGCAGCAGTTTAGAGCACTGATCATCCAGAACATCGTGATTCATATGGCATTTTTTATTTGTGCAATTTCCTGCGACGTAATCCACACACAGATGCATCTTGAGACATTCATGTCGACGATCACATCCACTTCTGAGGTTGTACTCCTCACATACGTCTGGAACAAATTTGCCTGGTTCCAGGAGCTTCTTCACATCGGGCAGATTGTAGTTCCTTCCCAAAAACTGTTTATTGAGTATGAAGTGGTTGTGATCTGTGTGGATATCATGCCCGGCTTCGCATTTAGGAACTTCGCAAAGGTCATATATGTAGTAGGGGCAAATATGCAAGGAGTCACATTGCTCATTCGTGCAACCTTCGGATGCGGTGTGTTCCTCACAGATGCTGACCTGCAAGAGTGATAAGAAAAATTGTTTTCGTTCACTACAAGCAGTACCTGTTCATCCTTACTGTCAAGAGACGGACATTATCTAATTTGGGAGTTTTCAAAATTAAAATACATGTAATATGTATTTTACATTTGAGGTAATGTAATTTCGGAATCGACATCAACAATGTGTACGGGAGGATGATGTACTTTCGTTGTAGTGGTGTGGAGCATGGTGTTGTGGCGAAAAACCTAATGGCCTCATTTTTATTGCAGTTAAATAATTCTTACACTCTTGGATGCGTCCGTCGCCACAATATGTTGACACTGGAGTGATAAAAAGCATCGTGGGACAATATTAACAGATGCTGGTCCTCCCCCATTTGCTACTCACACTTGCGTCCTACTTATGCGTCAATAATGCATCAGAGCCTTAGAAGAGAAAATACTAGGGTGGTTCATTACTTACCTGCATTTTCTGTTCTAGAAAATCAATGGGGTAGAAAATAGTCTGAAAGCCTAACATGACAGATAGCCCCAATCTTCAATATGATTTATGCCACGACCGCAACCTTTGCGCATGCGCAATTGGGTGTGAAGAAAATCGAGTCTGGTGGTATATCCTCTGTGGTTGAACAGCGTTGTATAACACAACTTTACATGAAAGAGAATGTGAAGGAGGCTGACTCTTTCAGATTACAAGCAAAGTTTGGCGATGACTGTCAAGAAAGAACTGCATTTGATCGCGCAAGAAATTTCAAGACGGCCAAGTATCCTTGACAATTCCTTCAGCGTGGCCATCCTCCCGAGACTTTTGTGAATCCTGTGAACATTGGGCAAATTGAACAAATTATTCCGGAGAATCGGCGCTTTACCGTGCAAGATTTTGCAGTGGAAATAGACATCAACATTGGGAGAGTCGAAAAAATTTTCCACCCTCACTTGAAGTTTCAAAGAGTTTACATTGAGATGTGTGTAAAGAGAACTGACATTCGACTAGAAGGGTAGGTGACCGAGTGACCACCGCGTCGGACCATCTCAACCGCTAAAATGAAGAGAAAGACAACTTTCTCAACCGCATTTTGACTAGGGATGAAACGTGCATTTATCACGTAACTCCGGTATGATAACGCTCAAGCACGCAATGGTGACATTCCGCATAGCCTCAGTCGAAGAAATTCATGGCATTGATGGAAGTGGTGTAGTGCCCACGTACTCCACCACAAGCTTTCAAATGTCTCTCACATTCAGGCGTTGCTAAAGCGATGTAACTAGTACGTCCGTGTAGGAGGAGAATACCTCGAGAAAGAGGCGTAGTTTGATTGATATCATATGTCTCATAGATTTTCCGGAATGAAAGGTATTGCAACACCCTCGATAAAAGTGTTTTGAGAATCTTTCCCAGGGAGTAACATTAGTATCTTAAAAGTTGTTATGAGTTGTAACACTCAAATGTTACAGTTCTTGGAGGTAGCTTTTGATTGGTAGCGGTCTTGAAGGTTCTTACGAATAATACTAATTCCAGATACAACTTGAGAGTTACACTAAGTGGAAGCTTTTGCTTCATTGGACAGTATGCTACAGTCACGTGATTTCCTTTTTTACGATGCTTATGGGAATAAAAAGGAAACATAGAGGGTAAGAATGACTACATCATTAGTCCTTTAGCTAAAATTAGAGAAATAAACAAATAGTGCATATTAGGTCACTTAGACAAACTCTTGTGATTCAAATAACTTAGGCACTGCAGCATCGATTGAGGTTGTCTGTAGGAGTCGCCCTTTAAATACATTTTCCTTTTGTATTTTGTGCATTATCCGAGCTAAAAATCCGATCCCGTAATCCTCTCAATATCTGATTTCAGTAACTTCATATATGCCTACACTGTCCGCGACATTTCCCATGCGTTTTGTTCTTACATTTGTCGGTCTTTATCATCGGAACCTATTGCACGACTACATATATATAAGAAAAATGAATAGAAAAAAATCAATAAAATAGGAAAGGGGAACCCTACATTGCATCACAGTTTTCAGGAGGCCTGAGAATGAACTGCTGAAAGGTAAAATCGAAAAATAGCAAGTTCAATGTACTAAGGATACAATTACAGGTACAGGAACTCAAAGTCGCAGAAGAGTACAAGATCAATTTTAAATGTACTCAAGCTCTTACGTATGAGCATGTCTTGGAGAGCAGAGACGTACTAGTAGACTGTGAAAGAAGCGATTTGAAGCCAGAAAATAGCCCTCACATAGGAAACTTGAGGTACAAACAACTTTGGACATCTCATTCCAATTTCGTTTTTCCTAGTTGAATGCTGCATTACAATATTTTTCTGTTTATACATAAATGCGGCTGATTATGGTAGGGAAGGGTGAGAGCTAATTCCTTGTGGAGTCGATCGATGTTATTATCAGCCTTTCATGTATAAGGAGAGGCTACGCAATTGCTATGGGTTTTTTGTAGCATTTAGGTAACTACTAAAATCATGGTAAGTAGCCACTGCTCAATAATTTGAGGAATGATGGTCAATTATTAAACGTACCCTACTTGGGTTATCCACTGCTTCATTTATGGCGGAGTCGGGTGGTATGCCTCTCCCGTCCTGAAACAGATTTTCGTAATGAGGAAAGTTTATGCATGCTGTAGAAGTGAGTTAAATGGCTGATGCGGATAAATTGTGTTCACCGTACTTGAGTAGGGATCCCAGCTTGGTTTGGATACATGAACACGCGGAGTGTTTCAGGTGTCCTAGGAGGAATAGTTTTGAAATCGATTGCTTGAATTCTGGAAAATAAATGATTTATTGCTAAATATCCTCTTCATGTAACTAAATCACAAACATACGGATTCATATTGAATGGATATCCCCATGGCCATGGTGACAGGTTCTCATTATTGTTTGGGGATTGGGCTTGCTATCAAAAGAAAATAACAAATATGGCAATATGAAAAGAAAATATGGCGTCACTGCAAGAAGAGCATCAGAAAAAGGAGTACATGCATGTCCTTACTTGAGGACGGAACGCTGAATTCCCTGCCCCGGCGTACATTTGTGGATACCTGAAGGAATAAGTGAGAGATTTATGAACCAAGCCTTTAAAAAAAGTCACTTAAGCCAACTTATTTCGTGACTCAGCTCTTGCGGGGCTTACCAATACTCAGGGTTTTGGTCAGTAGGCATGGGTTGGGAAAAACGTTGAGGCCTATGAGAAACGCTTTGTTGGGCCCTTGGATCAGATTCTGGTGATGGGGGAGGTGGAGGCCAACTCTCTTCACCTCGCATCTCATCGGTCCTTATATTTTGGTTCGGAGTGTGAGATCCCCCTTGTCCTTGTTGTGTTGCGATGAGGTCAGGTGCTTCACAGCGGCCTGAAATGCGTGCGTCTCGTGCATTTTGACGGTGTTGGGCCTCAGCGCCGAAGGGTAAAGCATCGGGAGAATTTTGTTGGCTCATCTCGAGAGACCCTTCAGTCACGAATGTGTCACTTCAAAAAAGACGGCTGAAATAGCAGAACTTACTTTTAGGCATATGTATAGGCATCCACACGGACAAATGAAATAACTGATGACAGCATTTTCTTTCATTAGAATGATGTTAACATACGAGGGGTGATCGGAATAAAACTTTACAGCCAACTTCCAAAGTGTTTGTATTTATTGCAACCAAACGATACAGGTGCTGCATAGAGTACTCGCAGGGGTCTACTTTTCCACTTAATTCTATTGGACGGTGAGGCATTTGTCCCACCGTGGTATACGATTTTCAAATGCGACACCGTATATCTCCAAGTCTTGTGCAGATCATCATTTTTTCACATCTTTCACTAACTCAGCATCGACCGAACATGACGGCAACAGAGATGCTTTTTCATGAACGGAAACAGATGGAAATCGCTTGGCTGAAGATTAGAGCTGAAGAGCGTCCTCTGAAGGACCCCCACCCCATATTCTGCAGCACCCGCGCCACATGGGGACGAGCAATACCATGGAACAGAAATCCCCGTTCTGTTAGACATAATGACCATCTTCGCCGGATTGTTTCATGCTGGTGTCGCAGAGTTGCATAGTACCTATCACCCTAAGCGGTCTTCCGGAATTAGTCAGTCGATACGAATTGCGTTGTCTTTTGTTGACGAATCGCAAGGCCTATAACTGTTCTCCTTGTTCTTGTCGACTGTCGACTCTCGTTCAACCACAAATTGTCTGTACCATGCGGCTCCCAAAGGTCCGATTGAAATACCATTCCCATACACCTCCAACAGCAGGCGATGAATTCCCGCAGCGTATGTTCGCTTGGCCCGCAAAAATGAATAGTACCTCAAGTTTCAACGCGTGACCAATTTTCAAAGCGCACCGTCGTTTCACGACTGCACTGCTCACCTGATACGAGCAGTAAAAGTGTCGTCTGGCGCATGTTTACAAAGTGCGACACACCAAATATCGTTAATCGCAAATTACGCCATCCACATCGTGGTTCTTCTGTAATAGGCCTTGTAAACATTTTTTTCGATCAACCCTCGTAAAAAGCGTCATAGTTCGATTCACATACGGTACTTGAAAGCAGGAGTAACCCTCGCGCTAAGATGTTAAGGAATTATTATTTGACAAAGGAGCTAAACTAGGATGTGGGATGGTCCACCATCCCGACTCCATGGTGAGTTGGCGGCTCGGAAGCAAAATTCCAAAGCATGAGCATGACAGTCACTATCTGACAAAGGCGTCCAGGATATTGCGACCGAGAGTGCCAAGCACTTCGCACTTATCAGGCTGTTGCTGTCACGTCGACCTGGGGAGAAAGGTAATACAAGCAGATAAAAATGAACAGAGAAACATGGAGGGACTGCGATCTGGCGGATAGAGATGACCATTGAAAAATCCCTCGTCTTCAGCGAATCTAATCTAGAAGTAATACATATTTGGATGGCGGGCTGGTGGAGGTCTGATCTGATCGGGGACAATAACGCTGAGGAATGGTAACTAATCAATGCATTCAGGGCAGTTCGGGAGTCCGAAGGATATTTATGATTTTTCCTGACACATGTTACAAAAATTAGTTTTACCAAAGTGGTGTTTGGAAACAAATTCTCATGAAAATAATTGCCAAGTCCTGAATTGCAACTATTCCCTTTAATATAGTAATAGTAAATAGATTATGAATCGTTGGATGTTGCTATGTCATGACATGTTTTCGCTTAATTAATTCCGTAGCATGATGTTTTAGACGACCCAGTTAGTGAAAATCGACTCGTGTATTTAACAGCTTTGCGGCATAATGGAATTGCTAGTTATATAGTGTGGACAAAATAGAAAAATCCGTGGTTTTTTTACATCTTCGGAAATCAGCTATTGATCGCGATGTGAATCCCATTGAAAATACTACAAAATGTATGGCCTGAAAGTTTCAATTGTCAAAGTTGTCTGAATAATAAACTAGAGCAGGGGTGTCAAACTGACGGCCCGCCAGTCCATTTTGTCCGGCCCGCGAAGTCTTTTTCAACAGTTGGTTACGTACTGCAAATTTCAGTCTGTTTTCATTTGATTTGTTCGATTTTTATTGTGGCCCCTAATCATCTCGGAAGGCCTCCATCCGGCCCCAAGTCTAATCGAGTTTGACACCCCTGAACTAAAGTTATTAAAAGTGGAGTCGTGCAATGTAATTTTTCCGCGCATTTGATGAATGGGGTTTCGGCACTGCTCATATATGTTCGCTACATTGGCGCTGTAAACACTACTGTTTATGTTTGGTCATTCTTCTCTAGATAAGTAGCCGACCCGTGGAAGACTTCCACGAACTCTTCGGCAATAATTCCCGGGTCCATTCGGCGGCCCTAAAACTCAGTGGCCCTCACATCGATATAGGCAGCCGCACCTATTTCCCATTATTTATGCTCCCCCACGTACAACCCTTGGAGTTCCCTTTCATCCCGCTGAAGGAAGGATGACTTCCTCGCCAGAGTGAGATCCTCGCCCTCATATTTATCGGGATCCCGATCCCTTCATCGATCGGAACCCCGTTCTCGCATTGATCGGCTCTTTTTCCTATTGATCACAACCGTATCCTACGCAAAGTCCATCTCAATCACTTTTCATTCAAGCCTATGAGTGAAACATACGGATATGGAAACTAAATGTTAACAACACGACCGGCGTAGTGTTTGCGATCCAAGGAGTAGCCATATTGTTCTATCCCAACCCCTATTGGGGTTGGGTTCGCTCTTGGGTTCGATGGTGTAGTGGTAAAACACTTGATTGGTAATCTAGAGTCAGGAGTCAGGAGTCAGGAGAGTTAGTGATATCAAGAGGCGATTTCGCCCATTTCGATATCACGTGTCGAGGTCGAGCGTTCCTTAATTTTAGGGGAGGCCTAACCCTCTTAAAGCTAAACGCTTCTCGTATGATAGTACCCTAACGTCCTTAATCATTCTTGTGGCCCTCCTCTGTACTCCCTCGAGCGCCAACAAATCGCCCTTATTTGTAGGCCTCCTACCCTAGAGGCCCTGTGTTCGATTCCTGCCCACAACATAATTTTCTTTTCGTCCTCTTACGTATGCCATCCAAACTCTTCCTCCCCCCCCCAACCGGGCTGTTACGTTCTCGAGAATAGATTTGACAGTCGCAACGGCCGGAAAAAAGTGCGAGCCCAAGAGAGGGAGACGTTCACCCTGGGGCAAGCAGAAGGCGCCGCGCATGCACACATGGCACTGCGGACATACAGACGCCCATGCCTAATAGAAGAGGACGTTCCACTTGAAGACAAAAAGACAAATTATTCATTATCCCTTATCTTACTATCTAATTTACTGAATACAAAATATTTCGGATACCTCTTTTCCCCAATACTAAAAAACATTGGCTTAAATTGCATCAACATTGGAGTCATTTTTGTAGCGTGTTGATTTGATATGGAATGACTCTAAGGCGCCATATCATGCTCTGAATGCAGTAGAGAGGTTGCTGAAAGAAATCAGGGATAATAACATATCATTTGGTGGCAAAGTTTCGTTACTTGGTGGAGATTTTCGTTAATGTTCGCCTGCTATTCCCCATGGTCATAGATCTGCAATCGTTCAAGCCCGTCTTAAGTCAAGCTCATTGTGGAAAGAACCCGCTGGACTTGAAAAGTAATATGCGATTTCATGACCCTCAATATTCCGAGCGGGTGATTAGTATTTGGGACGGTGATCTAGCAAACCTGGGTGATGACATCATAGAAATCATTCCTCAATTTTGTCAACTGACTCCTTAGTGAAAGACATATTCGGTGAAAACATCACGGTGGATCAAATTCCTCAGTTTGCAGAAAGGGCGATTCTCTGTCCAAGAAATGATGACGTTCACAGGATAAATGATGACATTGTGAACTGTTCGAAGGGGGAATTGGAAACTTATCTCAGCGTGGACTCTATTGCGAGGATTGACAGGAATTAATTTTCCTGTCGAGTTCCTCGACACTCTGACGCCATCAGGAATGTCTCCCCATGAACCTAACCTCAAAATTAGAGCAAATATCATGCTCATGAAGAATTTCAGCCCTATACCTGGTCTATGCAATGGTACAAGACTGATAGTGAGGCAACTAATGCCCAACGTTATCAGTGGCGAGGTACTTACGGGATGTGAAGAGGGTGAGAGGGTGTTCATTCCTAGAATTGACCTAGCTCCCTCAGATACGGACAAATTCCAAGGCTAATCTTTGGAAAAGGTGGGAATTTGTTTGCCGAGTCCAGTTTTTGGTCAACTTCACGTCGCTTTTTCCTCTGTCCGACCGGAAACGGAGTGAAAGTCTAGGTTGTAGAATCGGAAGCTCAAGGAAGACTTAAGAAAAACTGAAAAAAATCTTCACGAGAAACGTCGTTTACAGGGAGATATTTTGATTTGACTGACACTAAGCGCGATGTGAAACTTTTCAATACCAATACACCGATTGAAAAGGAAAAAGTGAATACATTTTTGCAGGGAAGAAGATCTTTTCGATTCACATAGGCTATGATTATTAGTACACCCTTAAACTCACCAAAAATGTGTACTTCTCTTAATATTTAATCTATGGTTTTATTCCTCAGCCCCGTTTCAAGCGTTGTAATGCACTCCGGAACTTATCTCTTGCTTCACAACTTTTGTAATGCAAAAAATCTTTACTTTGTTCCACATAAACTCGATGAGTTTTAAAAGCTATAATTATGTATTGAGCCTATATATACAATTTTATTTCATATTTCGATTCAACTTCTTTCGTCCCGTGAACTTTTACACTAGTCCCAGATAATGGAAGGCATGGCCATA